ATGTAGTTCTTGTATATTTATGTGTCATGAGTAGGGTAAAAATGAGAGAGCTAGCACCACCGTGTTATTAAACGGCTGAGAGAACTGGCACGGGGAGAACGTACATGGGTGAGAGAGCTGGCACGGTGAGAGAGCTGGCACACGGTGTCGAAAGTTTCCGTCGGCGTGTCGGGGTGGACGGTTGAGAGAGCTGGCACCGCGGAGGCTGGCACACGGGAAAGGTGTCGGTGGTGTGTCGTGGTGGACGGGTGTTTGTTACCTGATGTCGGGCGTACGACAAGATGTATTATAAATATTTTTATTTAAAACTCGATTTTTAAGGTGGTGATGATTAACTCGCAAACGCTTGTCGCTTTTGTCAATTAGTGTTGAGTGTAGATAGTTTTCCAAATGCGTGGAGTAAATAGAGTGATTAATTGTTAGCCTGATGTAAGGAATAATGGATAAATAATATGTTTATATAGATTAATTTAAAAACGATTATGGTGGAATCGCAAGCGATTTTATGGCATGCGCTCGTATATCATTTAACGTTGAGGTTGTTTCCACAAATATGTGACATATTTTGTTTGGGAATTTGTGTTCGAAACTTATATTTTAAAAACTACCATGTGATTAAAAAAATATATATATAAAATATTAGTTTCATCTGTTTAAAAAATCTTAGGACTGACATATGTTGTATTTTAAAATAAGTTAAACAATTTACAGATTGTATAGTATTTAGATAAGCGCTTAATGGATTTGCATCGTGGCTTATCGTGACGTTGCAGAAAACATGCGATAGTGATAACTGCGAGTGCATCATCAATTCATTTGAGTCAAACAACAGATAAGATGTCTAATTTATATACCAATTATTTGTTTACAATCTGAAGCAAGTCTTTATACTGATATCGATACGAGGTAGGTTGTGTAGGTCATGTTTCAGGTTGACGAGCGGTTATCGTCTCGGGCTTCGACGCCACGGGACCGGGTTCGGGACTGACGAAGGTAAGTATATTAGGATAATTTATTTTTTACTATATTTAATTGTAATTTATATATGTAATAAAAGAAATGTTTTTGAGTTTAGTATATATTTATTCACAATAAGCAGTAGTACTACAGTATAAAAAATGTCTATTATATATCATGTTAAACAATATTATCTTTTTGAATCCAGGAGTTTTTGGACGAAGGAAAACCAAGCCATTTTACAAACACTTTATCATCCTTCTTCTTGAGAATCTTTTCGACTAAGTAAACGTCTTTATGTTTAACCTTAGTTAGCTCTTCTTGATAGAATCCTCCGGCAATGGGTTGGTTCTCGGCATCTACCAACTTGTAAGTGACGGGTTCTGTCGGAACTACTTGCGTGATGCGAAATATTTCTGTGGAATAATTCGGAGTATATCCCTTGGCGAATTCCCCTTTATATTTGCTAATGCGGACGTAGTCGTTAATTTCAAACTTAGGTATCATTCGTAGTTTGGGTTGTTTATATGAATAAATGGTCTTTAGTAATTCCATTTCATTCTTCTTTGATACGTCACACGGCTTCATTTTTATAGTCGAATGTTTCTTTGTATTGTAGAAGTCCATTAGTTGGTCTAGTATGTCGATCCAATTGTAAGTACCATTAATTGTAAATTTTTTCCACATAAAATTTTTTAACGTGCGATTAAATCTTTCTGCCACGCTCGACTTTAAAATGCTGTAGGTAGAATAGTGGTTAATTTTATAATCACCCATCAACTTTTTTAACTCGGAATTGTAGAATTCTGTTCCTAAATCGGATTGTAAATTTTTTGGAACCCTTCCCTGTTTTAATATGTTTTCCATTGCAAAAGTAACCTCTTTACTGGTTTTAGTTTTGAGAGGTCTTGACCAAGCATATTTTGAAAAAACGTCAATTACTGTGATTATATACTTGAATCCCTTATTGACCTTGTAATATTTTGTCATATCAATTAAATCACACTGCCAAAGGTCGTCAAACCCTTTCACAACTACCTTTCGTCGAGGAAAATTCTTTCTTACCGACTTATGTAACTCGTTAGCAATATCTTCTTTTATACCCATAATATTAGTTACTCTATAACTCCTTTATCTCTGAGCTCTGATATTATATTTATAACTTCGTTATTGTGACTAGTATTACCTGAAATCTCTTATAATTTCAATAATCGCAGCCTGTCCACAATTTCATTTATATTATCATAATGCACATAGTCTGGAGCACATGGATAAGTATCCAATTTTAAATAGGGAGTTTTTAACCCACTCCCTTTCTTAAAAATATTTTTTATATAGTTTCTGTATTTAAATGTATTTGTAGCTTGAACCTTCTCTCCATCAGAATGTCTCACTAAATGAGCATTTGTAAGCAGTAATATATCTTTAAAAGAATTCAGATCATCTTTAGTGATAAGTGTCTTATTTGGTTTCTTCTTAAACATAAGTTCCAACAAACCAATTGTTGGTTTAAATTTTTGACCTTTTATTTTAATGAAACTATCAGATGGATCGTAGTTAATTTTACTATTTCCAATCATCCATTCATCATTATCACCTAAATATACACCATACGTATGATCCATTTCATTTTTACTATCGTTAATAGATTTATTGATATAATCGTTAAAATTTTCTTCGTTTTCATCATGTTCACTATTGGAATCCGATTCTTCTGATAATGATTCATTGGTTTGAATTTGTGAAGGTTTGCTTTCATTCATAACTTTAAGTGATGACGACGGAGTTTGTTCACTATCAAGAATTGATGAATTCTTGTCACTCTTTTTTTTCCTTTTCTCTTCAATATTTTTTACTATTTCACTAATAGGATCGACGATAGGTTTAAATTTCTTTTTGAATATTTCTTCTTCATCCACAATACCTCGTTTCAGTGCTAAATATTTTTTTCTTACCGTATTACTTGTTTTGATTAACTCCTTTTTAACATCCATTTCCTTTCGAAGTTGGATGAAGACTGTGTGGTATCACATACAATATTACCTTATAAAAAATTTATCGAACCCATTGCGATATCTACCATTGTTCAGATCACTTTCTTTATCGATTACGAAAAATCCAAATTTTTTATTCCAACAAATTTGACACATATCTACAAATTCCGTAAATGTTAAGTCGGGATTAATATGATTGTTATAAACATGTTTAAGATTATTATTATCCTGTTTAAAAACAATTATCATATTAGCATTATCTCTAATTAACTGCTTCGGAATTCTGGAATAAGATTGACAAAGATAAAAACAATCCACGTCTTTGTGTCGACCCATACTAAAAAATGCACTTACGTTGTTTTGCTTATCACATATTATATCATCAAACACAAACACCGAGTGTTTCTTAGCCTCAGAAGGTTGAATTACTTCTTCATTTTCAGAGAATTTATAATAACCAATTCCTTTTACATTTTTTAAAACGTTTTCCAAAAACTGGTATTTTGGTTGATATAAGGACTTTGAGTAAACATATATGTTTTCAAATTTTAATCCATTAGGATCTGTAATTAGGCTTAACATCACAGCAGTTTTCCCACAAGATGATGGTCCTGTAATTAAACATCTGATTTGATTTGGAAGGAGCCCACTATGTCTTCGTCTATTATCAACCGGTTTTAAATCAAAACTTTCAATGTTTAATTTTTGTTTTTGATTAATCACCTTCATTATTATGAGATAACCTTCTCTTACCACGTTCTATGCAGAAATGAGATTGATCGGCATTCTTAAATTCTTATGTAATCTTATAAGTAGTACACAAGGGAATATAAATAATAAACGAAAAAATATAAATGAAAACTATTTTATTTCCACATGGTTCTATTTTCCATCCTATGATATAAAGATTTCATTTTTTCTACAGCAAGTTTTACTGACTTAATTTTTGAACTATTAAAGCTTTTTGAAAACAGATCACCGATACGCTTATCTTTCTCCTCGTCTGTGCAGTCTGAAAATAATGATGTAAACCCCTCAATGTCTTGCCCAGAAGATCGATGGATCAGATACATCAAAGTGTAGTATCCACTGTAGTCTGATGATTCACTCTGTATTCGATGTCGATTGTAACTCCATTTTTCAGTAGCATTTTGAATGAAGAGAAATATTTTGTAAGGTGGAGGTAAACCGAAACTATCAAAATATTCACCCCGATGAAATTCGTCAATGTAAACGGCTACCCATCGGTCTCCAGTATTGAATATATATGATGAGGGATAGTTGATGTATGAAGGTATTCTACCTTCAGCGTGAAATATTTCGTTAAAATGTTGAACGATTTGTGGATTACTTTGAATAAAAAGCTCTAATTCGATTGCGTACATCTTGCACAATTTTCTTTTCTCTGAGGTTTTCCGTCGATGTGATCTGTACCCGCACCTGAGGAGTTGTAATGTTCATAGCAGTAAATTATATCCTTTAGCTTATCTTTTTTGTGATCTGGGAGAAGGTCCCACACGTGCCATAGGTCACTCGGGGACACGTGATGTACAAAATACTCTTTCGGTAGGTAAGATATTTCTTGTATTTTTAAATTGGCTAAAGTTCTGTTACCGTATTTATCAAGCGTATTGAATTTATCAATAATTTCTCCAATCTTGTCAACTGTTTTGTCTTCGATCTCCAATAATGTGGATTTCTTTTCAACCTTGTTTATATACCAGTGTAACAACAGTCTAACATTTTCACTTGCACATTGATCAGTCGTTCGAGAATGGTAAAAACACTTTCTAAAGCTCATCTGTTTTCTCAGATCGTTGATTCTTGGACAACAAATTTCATCCATATCCCGCACGGACACAGTTTTATTCGATAAAGTATTTTCAATAAAAATCTTTTTTTCCATACCTTTGACTAATACAACATCGTAAGATCCTAATATCCTGTTAAAAATATTCTTCATTTCGAAATATGGAGTGTAACCGTCATTCCAGTCAATTCCATGACAGAATTGCTTAACCCATGTTGCAACCTTTTGTTGTGTTTCAGGTAACGCTGTATATGGAAAAGGTGGTTTGAAAATAATCGATTGCACTTTACTACCTGAAGTTGTGAGAAAAGCTGCTTCCTTCACGATGAACTCATTTTTTAGTCCACGGAACCCTTGGATATCACATACGACTGTTCTGTTCGACATCTTGTTAGCAACTGGAATAAAAATTGTGAATTATCACGTTACAACTTGTTTAATCTCAACCTACTAACCCTTGACCTTGTTCCTAACCTTTTGTTTTCCTTTTTTCACCTCATACTAACTTTTTTACCAAACTTGTCATCGGGTTGTATTCAACGACACGATCGTGTAATATTAAACAATATGCTGTAGTTTTAGCTGCGATTGTACTTTTCGATTCAAACTCTAATCTTATATCCACTGGTCCTGATTTTATGGATTCGTTTTGTCTGGAACAATCGATTACAATTAACGGAGCATGTGTTACAAATTCACTATATGTGAATAGGGGTTCGCCCTTTTTAAAATAGTAGTTTTCTTGAAATTTTACATACATTTCATAAAGAATCGCTAGCTGATTCTTGGACTGATCAAGGTTCATATCGTCATACGGGTAACACTCTGAATTCAAATAAAGTTTTACATTTGAAACGTCACATATATCAAATTCGCTGACATTTTTTTTGATATTGTTTGATCTGTCCGTTTGAAATGCTAATACAACATATCGTGGTTTTTCCAACTGAGTTGATGTTTTTACATTCCATGTCTGTCTATTTGATTGTGGTAATAAAGGATATTCATAAAGCTCCCATGTTCTAAAATTGATGAAAATTGATTGATTTTTTTCAATAACTTTGAGTAAAGATAGTTTTTCTTGATCTGATGGGAATACGTAGGGAACTCTCCATTGAATTTTCTTGATGTTAATGTCCATCGTTGGCTCGATACTTGTACTTGTACCTGCAGCTCCTGTTTCAGTCTTAACCTCACCAAGCATAGCATTTAGGTCAGTTCTTGATCTTATAAGTATAAGTTCCTGTTTAACGTTTAATATAATTTTATTATAATCCTCAGCGAACCCAATTAAAATCTTAAGAGGAATGCAGACATTAAAATAGAAAGTACCTTTATTTGTACTGTCTTCTTTGAGAGTCAATAAACTACCTTTTTCACTCGTCCAGCCTGCATTAGTTAACATTTTAATGTCACTATCATTAAAAGACAGATAACCTTTCATTGTACTTGTAATTCCAACGTTTTTCACCCTATCTATTTCAACTCCACCGATTTCGTATCGTATTTCATCAAATAAATAAGCATATCCGTTATTAATGAATTTTGTATTTGTTGATTTAACCACCCCCTCGATGTAGAGAGTACTGTTGCAGGGATACGTATAGATATCTTGATGTTGGATTGGTATTCTAATTTCATCATTATTGTTGAATGAAGAATTAGCATATGGTTGATGTGCGTGTACTTCTATTTTATTTATCGATTCGTCAAAGTAAATTTGCTCTCTTACTTGTAATATACTACCAGCCATGTTTAATTTTTAAGCCTAATGATACTAAAAAGTCTCTATTACTCTTAGAAAGAGAACCTCTCTTCACGGTGTCCGGTGTAGAAATGTTCACGGTTTTCAAATACGGTATGTTCTTAACTGGGGTGAAGATCATAGGCATGATTACAAACGTTTAAGATGTAATGTTACTGTGATGGTTTCTTCACGGAAATTGATAGGTTTACCATTTTGATCAGTTATTTTAAGGGATATGTTATCAATCGTCCTTGTGTTGATTGGAAGATAGATTATATTGGCGGGAGTTTCAACTATTTTAAATCCTGGTGGAACAGTGGGAAAGAATGTATGTATCACATGACTTGGATTACTATTTACAAACGAAGACGTAATTATATTACACTCCACGTTTATAGTATTGACTTTTAAGACGTTTACCGTTCCATCCGACACATGAGTGAAAAACTTGTTTAATTTTCTATTTTTGAAACCTAATAAAGGACCTATTGAGTCTGAAGGAGTGAAGTCGATGTCTTTGGAACACTTTATCTCACTTTTTAACGTATTATTGTTTGGTTGAATTGTTATCAGTACATCATGATTAATGGGATACGCATTTTTGTATGATAAGCTAGTATCGATGTCAGTTTCTGTTTCACCTCTCTTATCTCCAAGAACCTTTCGTAAATACTTTTGCAAATCTTTAACTTCATATGATCCAGTAGGTATTTCTATACCCACCTCTTCATTTTTATCGGTAAGATAATAAAACATATTACACCCTTCCTCAACATTTGGAATTGAATTAAATGTTTCAAAATTGATGAACCCTAACACGTAATCTCGATCATTTTCTAGTTCAATTTTGGGGAATATTTCACAGCTTAAGAGTGAACTATTTCCCGAAATTACAAATAGGTGAGACATGTTGCTTGTACGATGGTCAAATAATGACTGAGATAGTTATTGGAGAATATTTTAATTACAATCAGACAGAAATTTCAAACACAACTGTCCACATATTTCAGTGTTAAAATTTTGATCCCTAACATAGTTATACAAAATAATACAGTTTTTTAAATAATGTATAACTTCCATTGGTGGTTTGAGGTTCCCAAAACTGTCGTAATACTTTGCATGTGATCCATCTTTACGTAAAGCGACCCAATGAGTCCCGGGCCCATCATCATCGTCTAAGTTTATGATTATCGCTTCTTTATTCCATGGATGCAAAGGCAGTTTATCCTTAGAGAATACTCCTCTAAAGTAAGGTATTTTCAATCGTTTAGCATACCTTTCCAAATCCAGATTGGTTAGTGCGTTTGATCTAAAAAAATACCCATCCCTTGTTTGTATGGTCTCAAATACAATCCTTTTCCTGTTTTAATCTTAACGTCACTTACATTTTCCTTTCTTGCTCTGTTAACTTCGTTTATGGCTTTATACACTGAGGTAGCTCCGCCGGCCAGACTTCCGATGGCAGACAGTCCGGCAAATAATGGCAACAGGAACGGTAACGCTCCTCCAGATTTGGGTATGGGTATGATTCTAGGTTTTTTTATTTGATCCTTTTTACCACCCCTCATCGCATTTCTTGCAGCTTTCAACGCTGCAGGAACCAATACCTTAAGTTCTTTGCTTTTACTCTTTTTAAGTTCGTTTTTAGCCGCCAGTATAGCATCCTTGAGGTGTTTCTTCTGTGTATTTCCATTCTTACTGTCATGTTTCGGACTCCTTTTCTGCCTTTTCTTTGTAACACTTTCTGACTTCGATTTCTTCATACCAGCACCGAGTTTAAGTTTTGCTTTCATAGCGTTCGTTACTAAAAAAGCGTTTACCTTTTCACCGAGTTTAGCGTCCGGAGCCGATACTCTCGTCCACGCCCTATCGGCCAGCAGCCTGTCAGCTTTGTGTCTACTCGTTAAATCCTTGTTCTGAGCGTATGCTATATCGTGTTCCTTGCAGTAACTATCAAGTGGATTGATCCCTTTGTCGCCCCTTGCCAGACGTTTCTCCAATTTAGTACCAGCCCCACAAAATTGGTATCCACCCAACAGATGTGCCTCAAAAGGTAGGTTATCAATAAGCTTATTAATTAGACCTCCACCTCGTTTGAAGCTCAGAACCATACTGATGACCAGTCCTACTTGCTATTCAACTTACCTACCCTATCCCAAAAGTCGTCTTTATCATCATCTTCTGTTGATTTACTTTCTTTCAAGGTTTTTATTTCAGACCTAAGATAAGCTAAGTCATTTATCATTGCACTCATGACATCTGATATGGGCTTACCTTCTCTATTTCGGGACCTTGCAGTCAACGAAGAAGCTGGATAAAAAACCTTAAGCTTTTCATCAATACGTGACATATCAGAGTTTATCCTGTTTTTGAAAGCATCTAATTGTTTACGAGTCACAGGTGAATTTTCATTCTCGCTCGCTTTGACAACCAATTGAATATTATACTTTTTTAAATCTATGACACCATTCATATCAGGTTTAATATAATCCTTTATCATTTCCCTCAGTACCACTTCAACTAAAGTTGTATTGTTGCTTCGTACTGTTTCATCTACATATTCTTTGTTTGCAACATCATGTCTTTCAATTGGCTTTTTGACATTTGTTATTATTGAATTATTGATATTTACTTCACTTTTGTCATCAATGTATAAATACTTCTGCATGAGTGTTCTTGCCTGACCTAAAGTAATGGGAGAATAATTATTTATGGCTTCATTTATATTAATTATAAACTTTTTAAAGTTTAATTCTCCTTTTTCTGGTTTAATGAAGGATTCCACCGTCTTGCTAATTATTTGATTTACCCTAACTAATTCTTTATCTAGATAAAGTTTATTTATTGCATCAGAGTCATCGGTTGGATCTTTTTCAATTTTAAAAAAGCTCAATCGTTTATTCTTCATATTAATTTCATCATTGATACCAAAAGTCACACATTTTAAATTAATCTGTGAATTAACATAATTTTCGATGTATTGTTTAGAAACTACATCCGTTAACTCGGTAGGATCTCCAATATTGTTAATTCTCATTCTTTTAGCATTAAAATTGCCATTTTCATACATTAAAGTATTGCTTTTGAAATAATCGAGAGATATTGCATCTTTTCCATCTACAGGGTTTGATATATTTTTAATATTATGATTTTCGCAATCAATAATAAATTTCTTTCTATCAAACTTAATAGTATCTCGTAGTTCTTTGTCCATACTATTTTGAAAGTACCTCTTATTAACAACATCCATGTCTGATTCAGGATCATTGACATTAACAATTTTTCTCTTTCTTAAATTAACTTGTTTATCCTCTAACAATAGACATTTTGATGAAATATAATTTAAAGTAACGGCATCACTAGAATCGACAGCTTCCCCTACGTTTGTTAACCTTTTGTTTTCAATATTAAAATTTTGTTTATCAGTTAGCTTGAAACCTATTCCTGAAGGTCCTACTACAACGTTTTCTTTGGAAGTAAAACCTATATAACCTCCAAACTTGTCGATACTTGGTTTCATCGTCTTGAAAGTCAAACATCAAATGATGCTATTCTCTTATTTTGATTGATATAAC